GTCGTCGAGGTCAACGGCCGCCGCGGAGGCTACGGGGCGATGCTGGCCGAGCTCCAGAAGGCCAGCCTCCCCATGCTGCCCCAGTGGCCTCGACCTCGACCTCGACCTCGACCTCGACCTCGGCCTCGACCTCGTCCTCCAGAGGGCCAGCTTTCCCCGCGCCCCTGCGGCCTCGTCCTCGACCTCGTCCCCCTCGCTCTCTCGGCACGCGTCGGAGGAGGGTGAGTTTTGGCAGCAGAAGTTGGCCTTGGGGGCCCCCCTCGTCGCCATGGCTGGGCTCGGCTCAGGAAGCTCGTGCGGTTGGACCTCTGGAGGGCTTCGGGGACCGATCCTGAGCTGCCGTCGTCTCATCTCGCCCTGTCCCGAATCTGCTTCTCGCTCGTCTGCCCTCTCGCTCTCGACGTCGCCTTCCTTGACTTCTCGAGGAGGAGAGGAGAAGGGGGGAGGAAAAGGTGGACGGAGGGGGAGGAAGAGGAGGAGGAGAAGGAGGAGGAGGAGGAGGAGGAGGAGGAGGAGGAGGAGGAGGAGGAGATGGAGATCACAGCACAGTCGGCAAGCCGAGTTATAACGGTCAGCCACAGGCACACGGTACCCAGTCAAGCGGACCCACCACCACCGACGTGTCCACCACCACCATTTTACCCACCAGACAACGTGGCATGGGACGAGCACGCTCTATCACAAACCCTTCAAATAGCGAGACTCCCCAACGGGCTACCTATGTCACTAAGCCACCGACAGCCTCTACCGCGCCCATGGATCGCCTACAAGTGCCAAGGCAAGCAGTAAACGCCCAGGTGTATTACTTCAACTTGGACACCAAGGAAACAACGTGGGATGACCCATGCAACGTATTACTGGGCACGGGATGGAAGCGAGCTTTATTTGTAAGGGCTTCGCCCCCATGCCGCCGGCCCCCTTCTCTTAGAATGGGACTTGCCAGAGCTGTTTTGGGATGTCTGGACGCTGACGTGAAGCAATATCGGGACTTCACGCGAGGGCTAATATTAGTTTACGAGGGTTTATGGCTTCGGTGGCGCGAAGATTAGGTCATTTACTATGGTTTATGGCTTCGGGAACGCGACTATCGCGTAATTTACAAGGGTTTGTGGCCTCGGGGACGCAATTATTTTATACTTTACGAGGGTTTATGGCCTCGGGGGCGCAGATCTTGTATAGTTTACGAGGGTTTCTGGCCTCGGGGACGCGAATATGGTGTAATTAGCGAGGGTTTGTGGCCTCGGGGACGCAACTAAGGTGTAATTTACAAGGGTTTATGGCCCTGGGGACGCGAATCTTGAATCATTTTCGAAGGTTTATGTTTTCAGGGGTGCGTGTATTGTGTAATTTAGAAGGTTTTTTGGTTACGGGGGCGCGGGTGTCGTATGGTTTATGAGGGTTTGTGGCTCCGGGGACGCAAATATCGAGTAACTTACGAGGGATTATGGCTTCGGGGACGCGAGTATTTTGTAATTTGCACGGGTTTATTGCCTGGGGGACGCGAACGTGGTGGATTTTACTAGGGATTATGGCTTCGGGGACGCCGCAGTGGAGGCCGTCCCCGGTGATGGCAACTGTGTGTTCGGGGAGGCTGAAGTCAGTATGGCCTCGGGGACGCGAAAATCCTGTATTTTTGCGTGTCCCACGCCCCCCCACGAATTCTGAGAACCCTCCAGGGCGTGGTACAATGGGGCTCCCACCCCTCGCGCGGGCAGCAACAAATTAACAGTAAGGAAGCAGAAAGCAGGACTGTAACAGTGGAAACCGTAGACTGCAACTGGAACAGGGAGCTGCAATCCTCACCCTCGCAGCCTGGTGGTCCCACAAGGAGGCCAGCGGATCTGCCGGACACGTGGAGTGTTTCTACGACGGCAAGGGGGAGTACATGCAGTACCCCCCATCGCTAAACGTGACCGCGTACAACCTCCGCCACCGCAAGCATCCCCACCTCCGCATAGGGCGAGATCACTATCGCCGCAAGCACGCTCCTACTGCGTCGGTATATCGGCCCTCGAGACTATCGTCAAGAGGTGCCACAGTGAAAAATGAGTTCCGGGACGACGTGGACAACCTCGAGAACAACACCAGTTTCCTCGACAACGGCGAAGTGGTAGAGCTCGCCATGTCAGACAACTCGCAAGGGCGCCTACTGACCTTACTGCCCAGCAACCAGCACGACAACCTAACCACGCAGGACGGCGTCCTACGGATCATCGGCGGGACCCAGACCGCACAGCCACAGCCGGGGTCAACACACTGACCAAAGGATCTCCTTCTCAAGACGACGAACTACCCACCGTCACAGCTACCTGTGCCCAGCCAGCAAGGGGCATCAGGCAGCAGCGACGGGGTAGCAACGTTCATGCGGCAGGACACACACACACACCCAAGCCGATAGCAACAGCATCGACACCGAGCGACAGCAGCAGCATACTGGCCCCTACCAGAGAGCCACGATACAAAGGCCCCTCCTGCCACACCCCATCTTTACTCCTACCAGCTGCGCAACGCTGGCCAAGGAGGAGGGCATAAGATGGACAGGTCGAATGAGCACCAGATCCCTTTACCAAGAGGTGCCATCAAAGCCACCGCCAGTGATTCCACCTGAAAGCATCGCAGCGATAACGGCTCACACCACCACCAGCACTTCGACGACAGCTCCGACCGACCACGTCACCGGTAGTAACAGTTAAGGCGAACATCATGCACGACTTGGACACGGTGTTTGAGATGGCAATCACCCCGACAGGGCACCCGCCACCAGATGTGGGATCTGGACCAACGCGAGCGACACCAGGATCTGTTCGAGCGGTTGGCCAACAACATCAGCATGATTCCACATGGCCGCGAATCCATAGACTTCAAGATCAACACCCACAAAACCATCTCACATTACTTCGTGAACATGGGCAATGCGAACAACTGCTGCGACTTGGACAACGGGGCAGACCTTGACAAGCGTCCTTAGAGGCATCGTTTAACTACGGTTTTCCTTGCGACATACAACGAGAAGCGCGTACCAGTGATGCTGACTTACTGGATCGATGACGGGCCAGACGACCGACCGACACTGCGCGCCACGGCTTCACAGCGGCGCAGAATGCTCATGTGTAACAAGTTGGCAAAGCGTTGCAACCCGACTTCCATGGCATCCTTCTTTTCATCTTCCTCGTCGTCGTCGTCCTCCTCCTCCTCCTTCCCTCCTCCTGGTCGTTGTCGTTGTCGTTGTCGTCGTCGTCGTCGTCGCAATTCTCCTCGTCGTCGACGTCGTCGTCGTCTTCCTCCTCCCCTTCGTCGTCGTCGTCGTCGTCCTCGTCGTATTCGTCGTCGTCGTCGGAGTCGGAGTCGTCGTCGTCGTCGTCGTCGTCGTCGTCGTAGTCGCCGTGGTTGTCGTTGTCGACGTCGTCGTCGTCGTCGTCGTCGTCGTCGTCGTCGTCGTCGTCGTGGTGGTTGTCGTCGTTGTCGTCGTGGTCGTCGTTGTCAACGTCGTCGTCGTCGTCCTCGTCATCGTCGTCGTGGTCGTCGCCGTCCTCCTCTTTCTCCTCGTCGTCGTGGTCGTCGTCGTCATCCTTCTCCGCCTCCTCATCCTCCTTCTCGTCGTCGTCGTCCTCCTCCTAGTCCTCCTCGTCGTCATCGCCGCCGTCGTCGTCGGCGTTGTCGTTGTCGTCCTCGTCGTCGTTGTCGTCGTCGTCGTCCTCCTCCTATTTTTCTTCGTCGTTGTCCTCGTCGTCGTCGTTGTCGTCGTCGTCTTGGTCGTCGCCGTCGTCGTCGCCGTCGTCGTCGTCGTCGTCGTCGTCGTCGTCGTCGTCGTCGTCGTCGTCCTTCTCGTTGTCCTCGTCGTCGTCGTCGTCATCCTCGTCGTCCTCTTCGTTTTGGTCCTCGTCATCGTCGCTGTCGTCGTCATCGTCGCTGTCGTCGTCGTCGTCGTTGTCCTTGTCCTCCTCGCCGTCGTCCTCGTCCTTGGAGTTCTCGTCGTCGTCGTCGCCTTCCTCGTGCTCGTCCTCGTCGTCGTCGTCGGCGTCTCGTCGTTATCGTCCTCTTCGCCGCCGTCGTCGTCGTCGTCGTCCTCGGTGTCGTCGTCGTAGGCGTCGTGGTCGTCGTCGTTCCCGTCGTCGTCGTCGTCCTCGTCGTCGTCGTCGTCGTCGTCTTCCTCGTCTTTCTCGGCGTCGTTGTCGTCCTCGTCGTCGTTCTCGTCGCCGTCCTCGTCGTCGTCGTCGTCATCGTCATCGAGCTCGTCGTCGCCCTCGTTGTTTCCGGAGTTCTTGTCGACGTTGTCGTCCTCGTCGTCGTCGTGATCGTCGTCGTCGTCGTTGTCGTCGTCGTCGTCGTTGTCGTCGTCGTCGTTCTCGTCCTCCTCGTCGTCGTTGTTGCTTTTCTCGTGCTCGTCTCGTCTCGTCGTCGTCAATCTTGGCTTCCTCGTCTTCGTCGTCGTCGTCCTCGTCTTCCTGTTCGTTCTCGTCGTGGTCGTTCTCGTCGTCGTCTTCCTCGTCGTCGTCGTCGTTCTCGTCCTTCTCGGCGTCGTCGTCTTCGTAGTCGTCGTCGTCGTCTTCGTCTTCTTCGGCGTCTTCGTCGTCGTCGTCCTTGTTGTAGTCATCGTTCTCTTCGTCATCCCCTTACTTCTCATCCTCGTCCTCTTCCTTATCGTCTTCGCCGTCATCGTCGTCGTCGTCCTCGTTTGGCCCTCGTCCTCGTTGTCCTTCTCCTGCCCCTCCTCGTCGTCGTCGGTGTCGTCGTCGTCGTCGTCGTCCTGGTCGTCGTCCTCGTCCTCGTCCTCGTCCTCGTCCTCGTCCTCGTCCTCGTCCTCGTCGTTTTCGTCGTCCTCGGCGTCCTCGCCGCCGCCGCCGTCGGCGCCTTTCCCGCTCGTGGCCTTCGGGGGTTCGGGGCGGGATTCTCCCCCCCAGACCTCCAACCTCGTGTTTTTTTGTCACGGCGCGCTCCTCCAGGCGCCCAGACTCCCTGGGACTGGCCCTTCCTCCTCCTCCTCCTCCTCCTCCTCCTCCTCCTCCTCCTCCTCCTGCGCAGTTTTCTGACGGCCCCGGGGGGGGCCTGGAGAGGGCCCGCGGAGGCGGCACAAACTGCGAGCACCTCTCCGCCGCGATTTTGCCACGGCACGAGGAGGCCAGAGCCCGGCCAGCTCGGCGCCCCCGTCACCCGCTCGCGCGCCCCGGCAGGTCGGCGAGATCGGCATGTGCGTGCTGCGGCGCGAGCCAGAGGCAGCCCAGGCCCCCGTCCTCTTCCCGAGGGATCGGGCCGAACGAAAGGGGGGGACTGGGAAAGGGGGGGCACGAAATCTGCTGCACGCCGCCGGTTTCGGCCCCGCCGCCGGGCCCATTCCTCGATGCACGGGCGCCTCCCGGCGCCGGGAGGCGCTGGGGAAATCAGCCACGCGCGCTGATTCTCGTACCCCCCCCCTTTGCTATCCCCCCCTTTCGCCCGACCCGAAGGGAGCGAAGACATGCAGCGAGGCGCGCGGAGGAGCGACGGGTCCCGCTCCCGCTCGGGCGGCGCTGGCCCCGCGTTTCGGGGGTGACCTTCCCCGATCCGTGGCCGCCTGCGCCCGACCCTCGTGCCACGTAGGGATCACGGTGGAAGGTTCTTCGCCGTGTCTGGCCTCTGGGTGGCCTTGCTGGGCCCAGGGGCCGTCGGGCCCTCGTCGGAGGGCACCAGCTACACACCAACGCCGACCGTGGTCAGGCCAATCCCGGGCCCGGGATCGGTGCGTATGCCTTCTTGCCCCAGGCAGGAGGGCGCCTGCGCCGATCCTGGGCCCCAGGGGGATCCTGGGTGTTGGTGTGTAGTCGGTGCCCTCCCACCTTGTCGGGGGCGGACAGACCTCCTACCCTGACACGTCGATTCAGGAATCGGCCGTTTTCGGTCCGCGAGAGGGCGTCGCGGCCGCCGTCTTTGCGGGCCCAGGTCCGTCGCTTTCGGCCCCAGGCCGTTTTCACCAAAGGGAGGCTTGCTAAGGGGGAGGTCTGCCCACCGCCGACCCTGGCAGCCGAGGGCAAGCCGGAGTCCCCTGGGGGGGGGGGGGGTCGGGGCTCCCCTGGGGAGAGAGGTCCGCGGGGCGGGGCTCCCTTGGGAGGGGGGGTCGGGGCTCCCCTGGGAGAGAGGTCCGCGGGTCGGGGCTCCCTTGGGAGGGTGGGGGGGTCGGCGCTCCCTTGGGGTCGGGGGTGTCCTCGGGGCTCCCTTGGCAGCCGCGGGAACGCCGGAGTCCCCGGGGAGGGGGGGGGGGGCGGTCGGGGCTCCCCCGTGGGGGAGAGAGGTCCGCGCCGGGAGCGCCGTGGGAGGCCCGGGCCCTCCCCCCCCGGGGTGGGGGGGGGGGCGCCGGCGCCGGCGCAGCGGGCGGCCCAGGAGGCGGCGAGCGGCCGCGGTGGCCCGCGTGTGCCTTTCCTCCTGGTATTGGGTCGGGCCTGTCCCTCTACAGGAGGGAGAGTCAAGACATAATCTGGGGGCATTTTTTTTGTTATTGCTTTTAGTTTTCTATCCTTGCGGGGTCCGCGTGATCTTTTCCTCGAGTTCTAATTTGAGAAAGCCGACAGTCCCTGCCAAGATGGCAGTCAATAGTGACCCGATCCCGGAGTGCTTTTTGATAGTGATATCCATCGATGGACCCCAGACCCAGAGGGTTCCTAGTATTGAGTCGGGCCTGTCCCTCTACAGGATGTATAGTCAAGACATATTCTGGGGGCCATTGTTTTTTTGTTTTTATTCTATTGCACAGGGTGTCTAGAGCTCCGACCACTATATTTCGGCGTCGTCGTCGCTCCCCCCCAGCTGCCTTGTGCGCTTCATGTGTCGCTATATGTGTCGCTGTGTGCCTTGTGCCCTTCATGTGCCGCTATATGTGTCGCTGTGTGTCGCTATTCGTCTCCATGTGTGCGTCGCTATGTGTCGCTGTGTGTCGCTATGCGTCGATATGTGTGTGTGTGTGTCGATATATGTCTCTATATGTCGATATGTGTCGACATGTGTCGTTGTGTGTCGCTCCCCAGCACCCCAGCGCACCGCCCCCTCCGCCCCGACGACTTTATTTCGGCGTCGTCGTCGCCCCCCCCCCCTCTCCTCAGCAGCCCAGCGCGCTGCCCCCTCCGCCCCGACCACTTTATTTCGGCGTTGTGTCGACATGTGTCGCTATGTGTCGCTCCCCAGCACCCCAGCGCACCGCCCCCTCCGCCCCGACGACTTTATTTCGGCGTCGTCGTCGCCCCCCCCCCCTCTCCCTCTCCTCAGCAGCCCAGCGCGCTGCCCCCTCCGCCCCGACCACTTTATTTCGGCGTTGTGTCGACATGTGTCGCTATGTGTCGCTCCCCAGCACCCCAGCGCACCGCCCCCTCCGCCCCGACGACTTTATTTCGGCGTCGTCGTCGCCCCCCCCCCCCTCTCCCCCCTCCTCAGCAGCCCAGCGCGCTGCCCCCTCCGCCCCGACCACTTTATTTCGGCGTCGTCGTCGCCCCCCCCCGGTCCTTTTCCCCAGCAGCCCAGCGCACCGCCCTCTCCGCCCCGACCACTTTATTTCGGCGTCGTCGTCGCCCTATTTCGGCGTTGTGTCGACATGTGTCGCTTTCCCCAGCAGCCCAGCGCACCGCCCTCTCCGCCCCGACCACTTTATTTCGGCGTCGTCGTCGCCCTATTTCGGCGTTGTGTCGACATGTGTCGCTATGTGTCGCTCCCCAGCACCCCAGCGCACCGCCCCCTCCGCCCCGACGACTTTATTTCGGCGTCGTCGTCGCACCCCCCCCCCCCTCTCCCTCTCCTCAGCAGCCCAGCGCGCTGCCCCCCCCCCCCGACCATTTTATTTCGGCGTCGTCTTCGCCCCCCCTGTCCTTTTTCTCCCCAGCAGCCCAGCGCGCCGCCCTCTCCGCCCCGACCAACTTTATTTCGGCGTCCGTCGTCGCCCCCCCCCCCTCTCCCCTCTCCGAGCACCCAGCGCGCCGCCCCCTCCGCCCCGACCACTTTATTTCGGCGTCGTCGTCGCCCCCCCTCCCCCCCCAGCAGCCCAGCCCAGCGCACCGCCCCCTCCGCCCCGACCACTTTATTCTCTTGCACAGGGTGTCTAGAGCTCCGACCATTTTATTTCGCGTCGCTCCCCCCCCCCCCGCGTCCTCAGCGCCAGAGTGGGGCCCCCACGCCGTGGCTCTCTGCCCCAAGCCCCCCCGCGTCCCCAGCGCCCCAGCGGGGGCCCCGCCCACTGCCCCCTCCGCCACGAACGCTTTATCCCGCGTCGCCCCCCCCGCCCCCCCGCGTCCCCAGCGCCAGTGTGAGGCCCACGCGCCGTGGCTTTCTGCCCCGAGCCCACCGCGTCCCCAGCGCCCCAGCGGGGGCCCCGCCCACTGCCCCCTCCGCCACGAACGGTTTCTCCCGCGTCGCAGCTCCCCCCCCTCCCCCGCGTCTCCAGCGCCAGTGTGGGACCCCTGCGCCGTGGCTCTCTGCCCCAAGCCCCACTGCGTCCCCAGCGCCCCAGCGGGGCCCCCGCCCACTGCCCCCTCCGACACGAACGCTGTATTACACGTCGCACCCCCCCCCTCCGCGTCCCCAGCGCCAGAGTGGGACCCCCGCGCCGTGGTTCTCTGCCCCGAGCCCCCCCGCGTCCCCAGCGCCCCAGCGGGGGCCCCGCCCACTGCCCCTTCCGCCACTAACGCTTCATCCCGCGTCGCGCCGCACACCACCTCCCCCACCTCCCTCCCCGCGTCCCCAGCGCCCCAGTGGGGACTCCGCCCCGTGCCCCCCCCGCCCCGACAATTTTATTCCGCGTCGCGACGCACGCCACCTCCCCCCCTTCCCCCCCTTTCCCCAGCGCCCCAGTTGGACCCCCGCCCCGTGGCCCTCTGCCCCAAGCCCCGCCCAGTGCCCCCTCCGCCCCGACAGTTTATTCCGCGTCGCGGCACCCCCCCCCCCTCCTCTCCGCGCCCCCAGCGCCCCAGTGGGACCTCCGCCCCGTGTTCCCTCCGCTCCGAGCACTTTATTCCGCATTGCGACGCACGCCGCCTCCCCCACACTCCCCACCTGGGACTTGGGCCGCGTTGCTGGGCCCAGAGGGCGATGCCTTGCCCCCTTTTCCCTCCTCCTCCTCCACCTCCTCCTCCTCCTCCTCCTCCTCCTCCTCCTCCTCCTCCCCCTTCCTCTTTGTGCAAGGGCTATGGCACACGTGCCACTTGTTATATTTTTTATCCTTTGGGGGAGTATTTTTTGAGCATTGGGGGGGAGCTGGAAAAGGCGGGGTTACGGAATCTGCTGCATGCAGCTGGTTTCGGCCCCGCCGCCGGGCCCATTCCTCCATGCATGTGCGCCTCCGGCGTTGGGAGGCGCGGGAAAAATCAGCTACGTGAGCTGATTCTCAAACCCTCCCTTTGCTATCCCACCCTTTCGCCCGGCCCAAGTGATCTTTTCTCCTAGTATGGGAGCAAGCGATGACATAAACACAAAATCTCGGTGGACCGCGCGGATTCCTCAGTCATCGAATGGCCGGGGTGATCCACGTGATCTGGCCTCTTTCCGCTTTGGGGGCAGACGATGACATAAACACAGGAACTCGGAGGTCCGCGCGGATTCCTCGGATCCTCTTTCTCTGTATGGGGGCAAATGGTGACACAAACATCAAGACTCGGAGGTCCGCGCGAATTCCTGGGATCGGCGCTTGGACCCCTCTGGCGGCGCCTCTGGCGCCGTTCCTGGCGCGCTCCGCGCGCCAGGGGTAGGGGGTCCAGCGCCGATCCGAGGAATCTGGCAGACTTCCGAGCTTTTATGTCAATGTCATCTTCTGTCCCCCTGTTTTGAGCTGGCAGAACCGCGAGAGATAGCTGCCACGCCGCCTTTTCTGGCATGGGCTGGAGGCGTATGTGGTAGGGTGAACACCGGAACAAGCTCTACACAAGAGTGCGGAACCTGCCCAGGCTCCCGTCGCACGCTGCCTCCGTTGTGTTCTTGCCCCACTGGTGGGGGCAGGGAGAGCTAGGGCCTAGGAATCAAACAGCGTGATCGTGCATGCGAGGAAGCCGTGCCAGTCAGCGGTGATCCCGCAAGGCGCTGAACCAATCAGAAACCAAGTTGCCTCCCTCTGGGATCTTCGACAACACTTCTCTCGGATCCTGCCAGGGAGCTGGATGCACAATGCTGGTGGCAGAGCTGGAATGACAATGCCGTGTTGCCGCATGTCTCGTGTATCCGGCAAGTGGCCTCCAGATGTTCCACATGTGAGTCCAGCCATGTGTGCTTCCAGTTTCCTGCTGCCCAGACCCCCGACGTAGTGATCTTTTTGCACCGTGGGCCCCAAGAGGTCTCGACCGTTAAATGGACAGGAGGCCGCCGTCACAATTTGTTTTCACGACGCGAGGAGGTGTGGGCGGTAGACCCTCGATCCCGGATTCGGGTGCTCGTAGATGGGGGGGCTGTCACAGGGTGGGGTCCGGGACCCCCGCCAGGATGCTCAGCTCCTTCCTTCAGGGGCCGCTTCCCACCTCTGCCCCTACCCCACCCTCACGCCCCACCTTCACGTTCGACCGCCGAGGCTTTCCCGTTGAATCCGTGGCCCCAGAGCTTTCAGCCCCTTCCCCAGGGGGAGTTCTCCGCCCTGGATTCGTTTTCGCTGGCCCAGGGGCGCCATCTCGGGCCCCCGAGGGCCGAGGTCGAGGAGCCCTCTGCCAGGATCGAGAGTTCCTGGCCGTCGGAGACCTGGAGCCTCGATCCTCCATCGGCCCCCCATCTGGGTCGAGGTCTGGGCCCGATCCGCTTCCGCGATGCGATCCTGCCCCCGTGCCGCCTCCAGGGGGCGCGACGAGAGCCGCGCTTCGCGCGTCGCTGCCCCGGGGCTGGAGAGCTGCCCCCCTCCAGGGCGGCATCGCGGGGGCGCGACGACCGCGCGGGCCCCGCGGGGCGCGGCGCGCGAAGCTCCCCCAGGAGGCGCCCGCGCTGCCGGAGCCCGCCGCCCCGACCGCGGCCCCCGCCGAGATCGCGGCCACGTGCGACCGGCTGCCCTGGCCCGCAGGGCGCGCGCCCGGGGCCCCCGGGGGGGGGGGCGCATGCCGCGGACAGCCGGTGGGTGCCCACAACTTGCCAAGTCAATTTTTTTTTTGTTTTCGTTTTAAATTTTTCTCTTTGGTCCACCTCTAAGTTAAGGTGCCCTCTCGGAGGGCGCCTCAAACGATGTAGGGGCCGTGGTGCCCACAAGCGGGGTGGCGCGACAGGGTGCGCTTCCACGAGCCCCGGAGTCCGGGCGTTGCAACTCCCAACCGTCCTGCGGTGGTCGGGTCCTCGCTTTGGAAGAGACGGCGCCCCGCGTCCTTCCTCCTCTTCTCCTCCCCCTCCTCCTTCCTCCTGCCTCTGCTTTCCGCATGTCAACACACGTCGGCACATCCCTCACACGTTCCGTGGCCCCACAGGTCGCTTCACCGAAGGCCTTGGTAAGGCGTCCGCACGGCGGCATCGCACCCATGTCGGCACACACCTCACACTTTACGTGGCCCTGTATGGGGCTCCATCGAAGGCCCCAGTGGCAGCGTCCGCATGGCGGCACCGCACCCATTTCGGCACACTCTTCACGCGTTTCGTGGTCCCATAGGTTGCTGTTCCGAAGGCCCCAGTGGCAGCGTCCGCATGGCGGCACCGCACCCATGTCGGCACACCCCTCACACGTTGTGTGGCTCTATATGGGGCTCCATCGAAGGCCCCAGTGACAGCGTCCGCATGGCGGCACCGCACCCATTTCGGCACACTCTTCACGCGTTTCGTGTTCCCATAGGGTGCTGTTCCGAAGGCCCCAGAGGCAGCGTCCTCATGGCGGCACCGCACCCATTCCAGCACACCTCTCACACGTTTCGTGGCCCTATAGGGAGCTTCACCGAAGGCCCCAGTGGCAGCGTCCGCATGGCGGCACCGAACCCATGTCGGCACACAGCTAACGTTGTGTGGCCCCATAGGGAGCTCCGCGGAAGGCCCCAGTGGCAGCGTCCGCATGGTGGCACCGCACCCATTTCGGCATACTCCTCACACGGTTCGTGGCCCTGTAGGGAGCTGTTCCGAATGCCCCAGTGGCAGCGTCCTCATGGCGGCACCGCACCCATTTCGGCACACCCCTCACACGTTTCGTGGCCCTATAGGGAGCTCCACCGAAGGCCCCAGTGGCAGCGTTCGCATGGCGGCATCGCACCCATGTCGTCACACCCCTCACGTTGTGCGGTCCCAGAGGGAGCTCCGCGGAAGGCCCCAGTGGCAGCGTCCGCATGGCGGCACCGCACCCATTTCGGTACATTCCTCTCACGGTTCGTGGCCCTATAGGGAGCTACACCGAAGGCCCCAGTGGCAGCGTTCGCATGGCGACATCGCATCCAATGTGGGCACACCCCTCACATGTTTCGTGGCCTCACAGGGAGCTCCACCGAAGGCCTAACGGCCGAATACCTTCACCTGCACGCAGTACTCGCAGCTGCGTATGGTTGGGTCCTTCGCCGAGATATTTCTCGCACCGCCGGATCTAAGGCGAAGGCGGCGGGCCTCCTAAGAAACCCGCTTGGCTTCTCGAAGCCCCCTCGGGGCGTTCTGAGAAGGAGCCCCCTTGTGGCGCCTCCTGGGGGCGTTCTGAGAAGGAGCCCCCTTGTGGGCGCCTCCTCGGGCATGACAGCGTCGGGGGAATTGGGCGCGAGCGGGTCTGATCTGTTGCATCGAGAAGGAGGAGGAGGAGGAGGAGGAGGAGGAGGAGGAGGAGGAGGAGGAGGAGGAGGAGGAGGAGGAGGACCAGGAGGAGGAGGAGGAGGAGGAGGAGGAGGAGGAGGAGGAGGAGGAGGAGGAGGAGGAGGAGGAGGAGGAGGAGGAGGAGTTTTTTCAACAGGCGCGGCGGCTAGCGTGCGGGCACGGCTAGCCGACTCGGGCGCGAGCCCGCAATTGAGAAAGGGTACCCAAACGCCTGCTTACGGGACTGCCAGCAGGCGCGGCCAGGGGCCTACTCGCCGTCGGAGCCCTCGTCCACGACGACCAGGTTTCCGACGAGGGCGTCGAGGACGATGTCCGCGAACGGCTGTGGCCGCACCTGGCCGCTGGCCGAGGGTATCAGCGGCAGGCCAGTACGCGGGTGCTGCCCGGCCCACAGGCGCCCCAGACGGGGGCGCGTCCGTGGGGGAAGGGCCCCAAGGCAAGGCTGCGCGAGGAGCTGGGCGTTCGGACTCGAATGCGCCCAGCACCTCGTGCAGAAATGGAAGGGGCCCACGCTCCACGCACGGTGGCCCTCTCCTGGGGCGCACACCGCGGAGACAAAGGCGTCGCGCGCCCTCGCGACGCGGTGGCAGCGCGCGTATCAGAAGCCCTTGCCGCACGGCACAGGCTCGTGGGAGCCGTCGGGCGGCGCCGTGTCCGCCGTCACCTCGGGAATGCGCCCTCGCTGCTGCGCGCGCCGAATGAGGCCGTGCCGCGGCGCATCCTGCTGGCGGGCCCGCTGATCCGCATGACCCGAGCCAAACATTTGGCCACGAAGGTCACGAGACAGAAGGTGCGTTTCACGCGCTCCGTCGCCGCCTCGTCGGCAGGGTGGAGGGACGCGCCCTCTCGGGCAGCGCGGTCCGCAAAGTGGTTGCCCCAGTGCTTGACCATGCCTCGCTCGCCGTCGCCAGCCGCCTTGGCTGAGGCGAGCATGGCCTTTAACCTTGAGCGCCTCCGCCCCGCCCCCCAAGGTCGCCCACCCGATCCCAACTTCGAGACCAGAGATCCGCTGCCTCGCACTGCGCGCCCGTCGTCTCGGCGCACCCACGCGTGAAGCTCGAGACGACCCACGCACAGTCCGAGTGAAAGCGGAAGGGTCCCAGCGCCGCATGCGTCAAGTACATGAGGGCGAAGGCCTCCGCGAGGTCCGGCGCCTGGCGCGGGCCTGGAAGCAGGCAGCACGGGGAAGCGACCAGGGAGCCAGTGGCATCAACCTGGGCCATAGACCAGCCAGCTCTAGCGAGTCGGGGGTCACCCTGCACTAAAGAGTTGCAGGGGCCGTCGCTGAAAGTCTCGCCCTCGATGCTACCCTGCGCAGGGCGCTTGAGCCACTGGACGCGGAGGGAAGGAGCGGGGCTGGGCGCAGAAGGCCGAGGATCGGGGACCAGGGCGCGCCTCCAGATGACCCAAGCGGAGCGGGCTTCGAGGTCAGCCCGAAGGGAGGGGGGAGGTCGTACTCTCGCACGAGGGCCCAGGTCGCCGAACACAGTCCAGACACCCATGCCGAGAAGTTCCTTGGGCAGGACTCGATGCCGCAACGGGGGCAGGTCGGGTTGATCGCGAGACCGTGGCGATGCTTCCGAGCCTGATCCTAGATGCCGTTGGCTACAATCACGCGGGGGGTCGCTCGATGCCGCGAGGGCCAATCTGGTCCCAGCGCTCCGTTGCACGTGCGGCGGAGGGGGCGAGGTAGGGTTGGGCAGGAAAGGCTGCCATGCATTCGGAGTTCTTCTGTGCTCGGTCCAGCAGTCAATCCTCGGTGCTCAAGCGCGCGATAAGGGGAACGGAGCGAGGGCAAGTGGCCGCGAGGCCAACCTTGAAGCCTTCGCTGGCAACTAGCAGGTAGACACCGGGCCCGAGCCTCCACCCCGTGCGTCTACAGCAGGCCAGGGCAGCTGAAATCGGTCCACGAACCAGGGCCCAATCACTTTTTAAATTGGCGTGGGCCTCGTGGGCCGCGTCCGTGGCGAACGAAAGTCGGGCGACCGAATCCAGGGGGATCCAGGGCTCCCAGACAGCCTGCGCCAGCATGTGACTAGGGCCCGCTGTGCTCGCGTGCGCTGGACCGACCGACCTCGGAGCCGAGGGGGAGAGGTGGGGGTCGAGGGTGAGAGAGCGGCGAGCTATGCAGACGAAAAGGGCGGGGCGCGCAGCACGTCTCATCGGTTCGATCCCACTCCGCGCCCTTCCAGTCACACCACCCCCCCACGTGCCAGCGGGCGTGGGGCCGAGCGAAACGCGCTGCTGCGTTTTGCCTCTTGCGGCTCGGATTATCCTGATGCGCGCTGCGCGCCGCGCCACCGTGACCATCCCCGTGGCCCGCGTGGCGCCTCCTGGGCGTCGGCCGCAGCAGTGGTCCACGCCCAGGTTCCCGGCGGACCTGCGGCGCTTGCCTCGCAGCGCCGCGCAGCGCCGCATGACCTCGCGGCTGCAGTCGGCGTTGTTGGCGAGCACCGCGCCCCTGCCGTCGTTGACCGCCGGGCTGTCCTCGAGGCGCCCGCGACGCAGCTAGCCGTGGGCGCCGTTCGCCCGCGCGGCCGCGCGCCTGGCCAGGCCCGCCTGGGCAAGCTGGATGTCGTCGACCGCGTTGCTGGCCGCCACGGGGCGGAGCGCGACGATGGCGTCGAGGCGCGGCGCCTGGCGTGTTCCCGTGCAGGGGCCAGCGAAGCTGCATCCTGCCACCGCGCCGTGTCGAGGGGCGCAGCAGGCGATGCGCGGCGCGCCGTGCAGCTGGAGGAGGAGGCGCATCATCGCGAGGTTGAAGTGCATGGCCTCGGCGCGCTGGACGCGCGACGCCCGCGGGATATGCTCGTGCGCCTTCGTGGGGTCCATGAGGGCCGTGCGCTCCGCCTGGCCGCGGCGGGGCGCCACCTCCGCAGTCGCGGCCTGCGCCCGCGCGCAGGTCTCGCCAGCTGTGCCGAAGACGTAGCTGCGGTGGTGCTGCGTGGCCCACCGCGCACCCGTGGTGTCCCCGGTCCAGCGGGTGAAGGGCCGCAGGGGCCCAGGGAAGAGGCTGATGGTGCGGGTGCCGCCCCCAGATTTGGGAAGGGATGCCATCTGCGTGGCCGCTGGCCCGCGCGGCACGTGGCCCAGGGCCAGCATCGGGCGCCACGCCTCAATGCAGGCCTCCACCGCTGCGTCGGACAACAGTGTCGCAGCTCAGCCCCGTCGCGCGTAGGAAGGTGTGGGCCACCTGGCGGAGCTCCCCGACGGTCGGCAGGGTGGGCGACGCGCCCAGCTCAGCTGGCCATTGCACAGCCTCGAGCCCAGCGCCTTCGCCCCAGAGCACGTTCCACGG